CATGGTAAAGATTTGTTAATTTCCAATGAAAGAGTTCTCATAATTCAGTCTTGAAAATGCTGTATCTCATAATTTCCCGTCGGCACATCCCCAATAGCCTATTTGACAGTAAGTACCTCCAATATCTGAAATGAGATGTAGATTTCGACCAGTTTGATCTAAAATATACGCTGCCAGACAGATATCTAGATTCCCTTTTTTTCTGCTCCGGCAAGAGACTTTCGTCTGTCAAAGATCAGGGTTACTATCTTCGATTCAGGGTACCTTCAAATAGGGCAAGGGGGTTTAAGAAGCGCGTGGCACACCCCTACCGAGGTTTTCGTGGAGTATCCCCCCTTGTTCTCATTTAATTTTGTAATGTTTTTCTAGCTGGATTAGAGGTACTGTCATTCAATGATGTTTGTTTTTCAATTTTCTTGATAAAGGAAATTCGATATTGGAATTTGGCCACTCTTGAGAACGGGAGATCTTGAAATATCGCAAGATACGCGAAAGTGTCACGCGCGCATTTCGTGTTAGAACCTGGGTAGAATTTAATTTCGAAGCTAAACGTATTTTATACATGCCGGCAGCATTTAGTTGTATTTTATCATAAAGTTGATTAAACTAACAATGAATGAAAACTAATCTACTTGCACAGCTGCACTGAATATTCGCCGTTATGAAACTGACCTTTGCAAGCTTTTCGTCGGTATAGTAATTTGCAACAATTAAAAAATTTAACCTGCGACATAATGGTTTGTAAAAACGTGTTTGTGAAAAAAATGTTCTTGCATATACATACCATTTCTTTCCACAATATCTTGGTTGTTGCAAAAGGCCGCAGAGCCCAAGAAAGAGGTTAGTCAAGCTGGCTTAGTGACAAACAGATCTCTTCAGCAATGTCGACCAGTATTGATCGAGTATGGAAGAACTTGCCTCTACTCTCTCTTACACTCACGCATTACACTTTGCGTGACAACTTACGTTTCTCTTGCAACGAACTCATCTCTTTTTGCATTTATGGACGAGAGAAAACCAGGGTGTGGCGGGCAATAAGCTACTCAGAGCTATTTTACTGCCAGCCGAGCTGAATTGGTAGAAGCAGCGACTGCCCTGTACAAGAGGAAAACTCAACTAACCTCAACACACCCCCAGGTCAAACTTTAATAATCGT